AGTGTGCGGTCCTTCATGTTGAAAGGGGTAAGGTCACTAATACGGAGGGCATAGACTTATCTATGCCCGTTAACATAAGGACCCTCTCTGAGGCTGAAACATACCGATACCTGGGTATGTCACAAAACATGTGTATCGATGAGGCTGGCATGAAACAGTCAGTTCGTGATGTGTTTTTTGCACGCCTGACAAAGGTGTTTAACAGCCATTTGTCAGGCGTGAACAAGGCACGCGCATTTAACGGCTGGGTCATGCCAGTCCTCATGTATACCTTTGGCATACTCAGGTGGACTCAAACTGAGCTCAATGCCCTGGACCGAAAAGTCCGCACAACTATGACGTCCCACAGGATGCATCATCCAAGATCGTCAGTGATGAGGCTGTACCTGCCGCGGAAGCATGGCGGGAGGGGCTTTTTGAGCGCCCTTACCAAGCACAATCGCGAGGTGTGCAGCCTCCGTAACTACTTCCTGGCGAGATCGGATAATTCAATCTACACAGACGTCATTAGTTGTGATAAAGGACTTACCCCTCTATCCTTAGCCAACGAGCAATGGCAGGACCCGGGGGTACTGAGCGTTTCCGGCCGGGAGGCCGTATGGAAGGAGAAAGAGCTCCACGGGAGGTTCTACAAGGCCCTACACGAGCCTTTCGTAGATACTACTGCCTCCCTCAACTGGCTACGTTTCGGTGACCTCTTTGGGGAAACCGAAGGTTTTGTTTGTGCGATACAGGATCAGGTTATTAAGACGAACAACTATCGGAAATACATCCTAAGGGATGGCACCGTCGACATCTGTCGAGCTTGTCGCCATCCCGGGGAGTCGCTTCGGCATGTTATTTCCGGTTGTTCCATGCTTTCTAACTCTGAGTATCTGCATAGACACAACCTAGTAGCCAGAATCCTACACCAGGAGCTCGCTCTGAAATACGGCCTCATGGATCGGAAACTGCCGTATTATAAGTACTCTCCGGAGGCCGTGCTCGAAAATGACCGCGCCAGGCTCTATTGGGACCGGCCCATCATCACGGACAGGACGATTGTCGCGAACAAACCTGACATCGTGGTGATGGACCGGGCACAGTCGCGGGTATTTTTGGTCGACATTACCATTCCATATGACGAGAACCTCGTGAAAGCCGAAACAGATAAGAAGACAAAGTATCTGGACCTGGCTCACGAGGTGACCGACATGTGGGGTGGTGTGCCGACCGAAATTATCCCGATAGTTGTGTTTGCGAATGGGTTAATCCCAGTCAGCCTCCCAAACATCTGAGGCGACTGGGACTCCGGGACGGATCGCTCCAAGCTCAAATGCAGAAGGCGGTGCTCCTCGATACCGCCCGCATCGTCCGCCGGTTTCTCTCCCTATCGCCCTAACCCTCGGCCATTTGGTCTCCCCTGCCGAGGGCTTCCGTCTGGTTGGGTCCTATTTATATATGTATTATATACAACATTATATGTATATGTTTATTTTTATTCATAATATTTATTTTATATATGCAATATGTATCTATATTTTTATTTTTATTTATAAACCCAACCAGACGAGAAAACAAATGAATATCCCCCCAATAATAATAAATAATAAAATATCTTTATTCACATAGACGCTTGCGCGTTCTTATGAAACGTCAAAATCTTACAATAAATTAACACGTTCGTAAGTTACCACCGGTTCGGAAAGCAGTTTCTGTTGAGAAGAAACCGGCAAGAAACTCAACAGTTGCTTTTACTGTACTATATAGGAACAACGAATGTTATGTAGCAGTGTAGAACGTAATCTTGGGCGTATGAATATTTGTTCTAATATAATAACAATGAGATTTTTTTTAAATACTGAACCAATTCTAATCTTATCTTAACAGAGACAAATACATAATCACTTAGTTATATAAGTAATGTATATTTTATTCAAATAAATCAAGTTTTAAATACACAATACCCCTTTTTAATAATTGTTAAATAAAAAAAGTTTTGCTTATTCTGCTATTTATTTTCCGGTGGCTAAGCTAAATGTCGAGTTGTGCCAGCGTTTTTATTACCATATTGTATAGTAAATTATGATACGTTATTTGAGTACTCAATACACAAAATTCATTAATTCCGTACTTTGGACCGACGGTCAAGACTATAACTAATCGCCGATTCGTGCGATAAAATATATCAATTACTAAACGTATTACGAATTTACGTAACCCAGATTATACAAACGAGCGAAGTCGGGTAAGTTCGTTTATATAATAAAGGTTTTACTTGAAGTCATTTTCGGGAAGCCTTATCGGATCCAATCATAATCTACGAGAACAGCCTTTAACTGTTGTTCGAAGTTTTACTTCTTCTCTTTTGTCTGCCCGGTTTCATTCAAGGTTGGACAATATAGCCAACAATGCTCGAGCAAAACTGAAGGGTATACGCGGCGACCTGGTCACGTGGCTGAACTGTTTAAGAACCACAAAGACCCACAAAGAACCACAAAGAACCACAAAGAAGCACCGCAAAGACCGGGCACAATGTTCGGTGAACAATTCGGATACTTGCGAAATGTTTCCTTTGTTACGCTCGAGTTGGAAAAGTACCAATTAAAACCCCTTTTTTGTATTTCTGTAGAGAAAGGAACGCTTCGTTATGAAACATTAGGGATTGCAGTCGACCGCGGGATTTAAAATTCAACATTTCTATTTGATTAAATCGCGGGATCGTTGCGGGGTGTTTGTATTTAAGGCCCGCCCACATTACGTAATTTATTTAATCCGTGATATTTAGTTAAATAAATGTAGACATTAGTTATGTATTTTGTACTTGGAACACGGACTAATTTATTACGTTTTACATGATTCTACTAATCGACTATATTTGTTCAATTACTCACTGAACGAGTGAACTTTCCATCTTCTAAGTATTTAGTTATAGTTATAGGTTTATCTTAAACTGCCAAAATTTTTAACTTAAGATGTTTATAAGTGCATGGGAAACTACTCATTATAAAACGTTTACTCACTGGGCAAAAACAAATTTCGACTTTGCATTCTAAACGTTTCAAAAATATAATAAATGAGAAAATTAACTTCTACTTATAATTCAGAACATTAGATTAACGTATCTTAGTTTAAAGTAACGTCAAATCGAAAAAAAATAATTTTTGATGTTGAAATTTGGAACTTTATGATTTTTACCTCGTGCTTCTCGCATTATTCAGTCATGACCTTACGGCCTATATGTACACAGATGTAACATTAAACTAGCCGAAATAAAAAAATAATTTCCGATTTTTAAATTTGCAACGTTAGACTCAAAACGTGACCTAATTTTAATGACATTTACTAGCCTGCACGCAATCCTGCAACGGTTACATCGCGTTAAGCAATACGTGCTCTTACGTAACTACCTATAGTTCTAATCAGTGGATCCCTCGTTGAGGATGATGTAATTCTAGGCTAAACAAACTAGATAAGGGCGCCGAGGTAACACTCGACCGATTTATTGGTTTATTGGAAAATGGGTCGCTGGAACCGCGAGTATCAAGTGGCGCATTGACGTAGTGTATGCACTCTGAGGTATTTAGCGAATTAATTGAGGGCTACCCTATCAATTTATAATCTGTATTTAGTCGGGTGGTTAGATACGAATGTCACGCATTTGCTGGAACATCGGTAGTGACAATTCTTAGCAGATTCGCTGTAACGTTACTGGAAATAACTGTAGACTTACAGAGAGCTTGATAAAATTTTACGGAATTTACCACCATCAGATGAAATGAATTGGTTTAATTTAGTCTCCATTTTTATTATAAACGGAGTGTTAGATCATTCCCCAAGAATTTAACAAGCAATGGCGACATCTCTCGTTCGAATTATCGTTGTAAAACGATATTCGAAATTGTATGCTGGAAAGGATATAACAATAGATGCGCCAAGCATTGCTTCAAATGCTAAATAACAATGTAAGAAGGCGTTAAGATTTTCGTCGCCATGGCTATCAGCCGTTTAGCTCAGTGGCTAGAGCGTCAGGCCGCGATTGCCGATGACGTGGGTTCGATTCCCACAGCGGCGACAATCTTTTCGTACTTTTTCTACATGTTTTGATTTAATATCCTTAAACTAAAATTTGTTTGATTGAAATTCCTATTTTATAAGAATAAAACATCAATGGTTATGAGAAGAATAAATTAAAATTATTTATATTTAATTGTAGAATTTGCTTAAATATGTAGACCTTGTTGGCCATAGTACTTAATTGTAAAAATTTAAATTAAACTGCTTATAAATTTAACAAAATGTTATCTCTTCACACTATGGCGATTGAATGTATTTGTTTGAATTTCGTAGGAATGAAAAATGACCAGTTTCCGATGGTAAATAACGCCACATCCGGACATCGCAACACCATACAACGTGCAAAAGCTTTGTCTGACTTTAAGTTATGTTAGGTTAGGTCGGAAAAACGATTGGGAGAATGTGTATAAGCCCTTTTTGAAGGTCTCATTAGTCTCAGGTGAATTAAGGTCATGGTTTCTTTTCTACGGCGTGAAGCAGATTTTTACCATATTTTGATTTTTTTACGTGACTAAATCGTTTTCGCGAAATCGACTAGAGAATTAATAGCTTTGGTGAAAGTTGGATGCTGTTTAAATGTTGTTACTATTAAAACGGGGCGAGCTTGGTATAAAATGAATAAATTTGAACGTGTTTATGAAATATTGAAGGCTCCGCGGTGAAGGAAAACATTGTGAGGAAACCTATTACATATACATATTTTCGAAAAAATAACAAAAAAAATATATGTCGAAGATATGTGAAGTCTATGCCCTGATATCCTCTGTATAGAGGAGGCCTTTGCCCAGCAGTGGGACATGTATAGGCTGTTACTTTACTTTACTTTACTTTATAAAATATTAAAGTAATTCGAGTTTTACGACAACTGAGATTGACTGACAAAAATCGATATTACAAAAAATTTACTATGACATAATTAAGGTTCGCATTTTAGCGTAAACTCAAATCTCATCGTAATCTCGGTCATCTCGGCGTAAATCGCGGGATTTGTAGCATAATCCCGACCTTTCCCGGGGCGCGGGATTCGCAGCGCTAGCTTGTCGCGGCGTGACGTTAACCTGTCGCTGAACTGCACGCCGAGTCACGTGTAAGCCGTGCCACGTGAAGGGGCGTTTATGTTGTAAGCCCCCCCGAATCGCCCGGCCCATTATATGACCCCCTTGCTGGGGGGGGGGGGCGAACGGTTCGTAGAGCTTTACGCACTTTGTCATCGACAGCCACCCCGACCTCAATGACATAGTCGACTGTCGTTGCATAAAATTTTAAATAAATAATTATCGCGAAATAATCGGAGTAGATATGACAAAGTACAGTCCAAAATATTAACGAAACAAACTAATAGCATACATTTTAAACTAATTCTACAATCTAACTTAGTGTGAATAAAGATTGCGTAATTAACTTCAATAAAAAGCCTTTACAAATTAATCTAACCCAAACACTAACAGTTCTATGAAATTGAAAAAGCTACATAGACAAAGAGGAAACTAAGAGAATCAAAAATCATAATAATTTTTTCATCGACAGAAGAAACATACACTTCATCTATGTATAATTTTTTTTTAAATCTATCACTGTTTCGTAATGAGGTTCGTCAGACGGAGAAGAATAAATGCGAAATAAACTCCGTATGTTTTTCGTCATTTTTCCCCTTCGAAACATTTTAGTATTATATAACTTTTTCTTTTAGAAATAGCTTGGTCATTGATGTATTCATCTATATTATAACAACCCTTTTTATAAAGTTTTTCTTTAATAAAATTTTTTAATCGTTTTTGAAATTTTTTTGATGTGCGCATTTACTGGATTTTTTTTGTAAAAGCGTATACACCGCCCAATGATCGAGTTAATCTATGGACTCTAGAAACGGCGTTACAATCTTGTGTTTGTCCGTAGTATTTACATTATCTAGGTACATTAGTATTGTCAAAATATTTATTATAACGTACAGCAACGTACTTTCATAGTAAGCTTTGTAGGGAATAAACATGATAATGTTTTGTTGTAATAAACATGATATAGTGAAAGTAAAGCATTATTGTAAATGAAAATAAGAAATGGGCCGAGAATCTATCCCTGTGGAATGCCCATTGATACCATCGAGCCAAAAGAACTTGCACTATTATTTACGATTTTTTGAATGCTATTTCATAAATATGATTTAATGAGGGCGAGAGCGGTACTTCTTATGCATAATCGTGTAATTTCCTGATACCTGTTCCATGACTGACGCAATTGATGGGATTGGAGCGATCACAAAAGGCACTTATAGCGTTCTGTGAACCTCCTAAGCCTTAAATATTTGCCTGATCAGTTCTACACCAGCATCGGTTGTAGAACGAGCCCTTATACAACCAAACTGTAAAAACAAGATGACTCCGTGGCGCAGTTGCCATGGCTTCGGCGTAGGTGTTCGTGGGTCCAATACCCACACGGGACAACTATTTGTGTGATCTACTCGTTGTTTCCCATCTGAATGTTTGTCCGTGTGAAATTTATACTATTTGTAAAACGCAGGATAATATTATACAAAAGTAAATTTTGAAATGTTTAAAATAACTGATTGTGATGCAATAAATTATTTAAATTAAATCTCTTAACAGCTGATCAAGAAGATGTTTTTTGAAAATTTTACTAAGTGTTCGTAGTATAGAAATAGTTCTAAAGTTAGTGGGGTGCGAAGAAGAAGTCCGGTTTTAACATGCGAAGTCATTGGTTCGAAATTAAATTTAACAATAGGACATGGATTCTTATACAACGTATGTTTCGCCGAAACTTTTGAAAACGAAACCTACCTATCTTTGAATCTTCGAAACGGTTTGCTCTTTTATTATATTCAGTGAACGCAACTAAAACATGGAAGCCGCAAGAGTACTTGAAGAAGAATACGAGATATTTGAAGTCGTTTTTGTTTTTCTTTAATAAAATAGACTCTTTTTTTTAATTTTGGTACCGACTTAAGTAAAGCACCAGATTAAAGTTATTTTAAAATATTGGTGATTGAGATTTTTTTCAAGTTGCCAAATGACACATGAGATCTCTACAATTCTAAGATAAAAGATCTTTTTAATTTTTATTCTATTCGCTTTATTTCTAAATTTATATATGCATGAATATTTGTATACATTGATATGTGTATATGTCGCAGTTAAAACTCGTTCTTAGTTTCAACGCGTTTTCTCTAGTTTAAACTGGTTTTTACTAGATGTCTTTGTTACAACTAGAATTAACTGCTGTTCAAAAATTTCATGTATACTAGACAAAAAACCCAGGATTAGAAAAATTATGGAATTCTTTACAAATTTTATAGCAGGTATGTTGGGTAAAAGCTACAAATATTATGAAAGTTTCTTTGGAGTTTGTATGTAAAAGTTTCTGTTGAGGTATGGATGTATGGATGATTGCTAATCTTTCATGCAAAAACCACTGGACAGGTTTTGATGAAATTTGTGACTCCGATAGTTTATAGCCTAAATTAACACATCAGATACGGGTGGAGGCACAACATGTTGTACTTATTTTTGCTAAATCTCAATTGTTTTTTTTTTAATGAAATAAATTATCCTAGAAGCTGTGTAATAATAAATTATGTTCAAAAATTTACGATTTAAAGTTTCATCTTAAATGCCGAGCTTAGCACTAAAAACAAAAATTAATCCTCATTTTTTTAAATATGTTAACAAAATCTGCCTTTTTAATCAGAAATAAATTAAAATACATAAGGAACTAAACTCTAGTTATAACTAGTAAGTTTTAGTTTTGACAAACACAGTTAAAAATACTTTTCAACAGCGAAAACGCGTTATAACTAAAAACGGGTGTAAACTGTAGAATATGTACTAGTATTTACATTCATGAATTATTAAATGTTTTTATTTATAGTTCCGTAAAAGGGTAAAACGGGACCCCGTTATGAAGCCTCCGCTCTCTGTCTGTCTGTCCGTCTGTCACCAGGCTGTATCTTATGAACCGTGATAGTTAGAAAGTTGAAATTTTCTCAGATGATGTATTTATGTTGCCGCTATAACAACAACAAACACTAAGAAACAGAATAAAAAAATATTTAAGTGGGGCTACCATACACCTGATTTTTGCCCTTTTGTTAGATAATAGTACGGAACCCTTCGTGCGCGAGTCCGACTCGCACTTGGCTGGTTTTTTTAAGTTATTTATTTATTTATTTTGGATTACCAACAAAATTACATGTACACAGAGTTAAATAAACAAAAATTATATGGCAACAATTTACACGTAATCTCAATTAAGTTATATTATATTGTTTGGCTGGTAGAGAATTCCTATTGGCGTTAAATCCGCCTTTGGGGTTATTCTTAGTCGAATCCATATCATTAAAGATTCAATATATAAAGAAATTCAAGAAATCTACCATCGATTTATATTTAAAACTAGCTGTGCCCGGGACTTCATTCGCATGGAATTTTAAATAAAAAGAAATTCTAAAATGAAAGTAGCCTAAGTTACTCCTTATTACGTCAGCTATCTGCCAGTGAAAGTCCAATGCAAATCAGTCCAGCCGTTTCAGAGATTAGCCGGAACAAACAGACAGACAGACAGACAAAAATTGAGAAAAAATGTTATTTTGGTATATGTACCGTGTATAAATCCAATTGCATTTAGTAAAAAGCGGTTATTCTAATATTACAAATAGAAACACTCTAATTTTATTTTCAGTATAGAGTATAGATTACCGTACGGTAGTACCGTACCTACTAACAGGCAATAGACTGCCGTCAAACATACGATACTCCTTATTCTAATGACTTATGGTTTCGTTCGAAATTTCTGACTTTGCGAAGCGTTCTACTGCCAGAAAAGTTTGATTAGCGCTGGAATGGGTTGTCAGGAGACGTCATTACGTATTGTATACACGTCACAGCCTCTATGACGGGAACGCGATGTCTAATAATAAATCGTGCCGCTTACAACGATCACGTTTCATTATTCGGGCATTAAAGACATTCTTTATTTTTGGACCGTACTTATTCGTCGACTCGTGGCTGTCTGATTCGTCGGGGCGAAGCCTTATGCAGCGTTCTCCTAGTTTATTATTATTACAAGAAACAATTAATACGACAGCATTAAGACGTCGTCTTTCCTGCAATTTACACTTACAGGTCTACTAGAAAAAGTATATCGCTTGGGATCCAAGCCGAGGCTCGAGCCTCTATTTGAGGGACCCATGGATTGTGTCGAGCTTGACTTTGTGCGTGGTGTATATAAACTATTATTTTTTTTTATTAACGAAAAACAAAATTGACTTTAAATATCTCGCTCTGTATTCATTTTATAATTAGCCTAGGATTCAATACCAATGAAATTAATATAGAGCCACGTGGGAAGTACCAGCTTTCAAATAAAGAATCATCAAAATCATTTGACGCAGTCGGAAGTTCTGAGGTAAAAAACATTAAAAAATATATTTAAAAAAAAAATACATTCGAATTGAGAACCTCCTCCGTTTTTGAAATCGGTTGATAAAAACAGTAACCGATCAGTTGACATGTATCGCATCATATATTCGTATGAATCGTTATACCAAACAAAGAATAATTATTCCATAATTTATACGATAATTGAGGTAAAACAATAACAAAAGTGTGTGGTGTTAATAGTGAGATTATTCCGACGTATAATCTGTTGACGAAATCTGGATTATGATTTGACTATTTCAATTCTAGAAGGAACACTATTGTTACAATCCACTGGCAACACTGCTTAATATACGAGAAATAACAATAATTATAATTAATAAACATTGAACCATATCTGGTATAATATTATATAATAAACCATGCTTAATAATAATATATAATTTAATAGGTCAATCTTATTAACTGTATTTGTAATTTAATAAGTGCATTGATTTGTAATGTAGTTGTGAAGACTCATTATATTTTTGTATATAAGCTTATAATTTTACAGTGATAGGGTAGAACACTCTTATCCTTTGTATAGGACGTTACTCTGTCCTAATAAGTAGGAAGTAGTCTAATTAATATATAAAGTTGTTTACGCTATCCTATTTTATTTTGGCCGACCAACCTACAGTCTTTAATACTATCGAAGTTTTTTAACGTTTTCCTTGTGTGTTACATAAAAAACACGGCTGACTGAATATGTAAATGACCAGCATAATGTCCCCGTACTTATATTTGAATATATTCAAAGTGGTTGTCTTATAAAGTTAAGCTACAGGAAGTAGTGGTCACTGATGTAA